GCACTTGAGGAGGGCCCCTCTGTACTGTGGCTCTAAAATTTGGCTGTCCCCCTCAAAATTTTTTCCACCTGCAACAAAACTGGAAGGAGTGGGGCCCCCTTCCAAATGGACTAGTTTATTCCTACCTCTTTTACAAAGTTTGCTGACAAATGCCATTAAGTAATCTGGTCTATAAGTAGACGAGACAACAGATTCAGAAGAATATTGGCATAGGAGCTTTCCTACTGCATATACATTTTTCAATCTTCAGTGAAATTTCTGTTGAAGATTGATGCATTTTTACATTTTATAAGGTCTTCTTGAGTTCTTATCAAAGGAATTTCAAATACAAACAATTCATCTTGAATTTTGAATCACCATTAAATTATGGCCACTATTAATTTTAAACTTTCCCATTTATTTTATGCAATGAGGGTCTAATTTGCAATCAAAATTTCTAAAAATATGATGATCAAGATTACAATGAAATTCACATTCATTCATCATGACTTCAGGGTAAATATGCTGATTTCTCTATTACAGATAGAACAATGTTGTTGCTGGACCTTGCAAAGAGCCTGAACTTCATTGATATTAATTATCTTTTGCAATTGCATTTCCAGTGCATCCCTGGCAAACCCCACAAGAACAATTCCTTTTCAATTCCCCTCCATGGAAAGTTTTTGGCTCTAAAGATAGTCCCTTGCTAGTTAAATTATCCTGCAGTAATAACTTTCTGTTATAAAATGGGGGCCACATTTTAGAGCAGCTGTTCCAAAAAATGAGAAAAATAATATCTGTGATGTTTTAAAAAAACAGAAAAGCTACATTTCTACATGTTGGTAATGTGTGAATAAGTAACAATTATGAGGTCAGAAAATGATTTTCATGATCAGCCTGTACACACATTGGGCCATAATCCTAAAACTTGAAAAGTGCCATGACAATTTTTTAAAGCCCTTTCAAATTAAATCCAAATTAAGGATAATTGGCAGTATAACTGATACAGATACATTTTCCAGAATTACACATGAAAACATTGTATTTAACCTGCAGAATTTTAAGATAAATTAATGCTGAGCAGCTTAATTTGGTCTCAGGAAGATGATAACCATTGAATTTTGATTAACTGCACTTCTTAACTGCAGTAATTATCATTGCTATTATAGTAATTTTTTGCAATGGCCATTCTGGTTGGTTATTGCAAATTTTGTAGCATTTGAACATATAACCAATTCAGCCAAAACAAACATTTCTACATTAAAAAAAATAAGAGATGCTAGTACAGTACAAGTAATTGATAAACAAATTCTAAAAGTTCATTTTAGAAATTTGCAAAAGACCTTTTTTAGCTTTCAAGAAACTTAATTGCATTTGCAGCTTTACTTTAATTTGAATCTTATTTTTCATTGTTCAAATGCTGTTTGAGAATTGGCAGGGGAGCATTTCTAAGGGGCCCCGCATTTGACATGTCTGCCCCAGGCCCCGCAAACCCTAGGGCCGCCTCTGTATATTATGCCGTATTTTTGCGGAAAGAATCGAACCCATTTTCTAATAATTCTCCCAAGAAGGATTTGCGGCTTTTATCTCCTTTTGATTTCATGAAATTACGACCAGCAACCGGATTTATTAATTCTAATCCAAACTTATTATTTCGTTCATCTGTTGAAATTTTTTTTGGCATTGCTTTACACCACCTTGAAGACTACAAAAGGTGAAAATATAATGAAGAACGGGAAAATTTATTACTTTTAAAATTCAAATCAGCTTATCATCAGGAAAATGTAGCCGTGTTTTGAAAAAGGGTGAATACATACATTCAGGTGAGAGGTACAGTATTACTTTCAAGGTATACTATAGGTACGGCAGAAAAGCGTCTATTTAAAAATCTTTAGAACTTATTTAACGTCTATTCAGATCTTCTTTTCTGAAGACCACAGGATTTTGATATTTCAGAACTACGAAGGAAATACAGTACTGTCTTTTTTATTTACTGGCTTTAAATGCTTAGACAACATCCTATAGGATTCGATTACCTTCATATAAAACAGCTTTGATTGGGAACGGTGACTGACTTTCTAACTGAGACTGAAAGCAGTCACTGAAATTACAGCAAACAAAATAAACTCGGATGCGATAGAGGGAAAAATCGGCATAAGAACGAACTGAATTAATAAGATCCAGGACGAACGAACTGAATAATAAGATCGAGCCTGTATTGAAGAGATTCAAAAGCTGCGCTTTGAATTCAATTATTAATGTGTTTTCCATTTGCATTGCAATTAGGTCGTTGTTGCGTGTCATTACGAGTCCAAGTACTTCAATGCCAATAGCGAATTCTTGGGAGCTATGGATTCTGCTGTTCCTTGCGCTCTGTTACTGAGCATCAGTGAAACTTTCAGTCCATCGTCTCAAGAATCTAATAAATTACTGCGCCCAGAAACTGTGGATTGCGTCGATGGAACCACGTTGCAGCTCATATTTTTCGATGGAGAAGAGGCTGTAAAAGCTTGGGTTGATGGTGACAAGTTATACGGATCGACTGCTTTGGCAGAATTGTGGGAAACTGAAGGGAAACTTGAAAATATTCAGCTGTTCATTCTCATGGATTTACTGGGTGAGTGATCCCATATTATTTCTTTTTTCACTCTCCCACATGTGCTTGATTGCTAGTGACATCAATGAATATTTTCGTGAAGGATGCGTTCAATTTTATGGAAATTTGAAATATTTCATTTCGAAAGGAAAAAAACAATTCTCTCAATTTCGACTGAGAACAAACGATTTTTACGTAAGTTCTAGGATGAGCAGAAATTTAGTCCACGGACTTCGCGTAGTGCCCGATTTCCGCATGAAAAACAAAAACTGCTGGAGTTTCTAAAAATGTTTGCAATGCAGTTCAGTCGCTCTTGAATTTTTCGAAGTGCAGTATTCATCGCCAATCTCAAACACGGCTTTCTCATCGATCCATTGCCCCTTTCAAATTTAACGCCGATTTGTTTTGCTATTTTCTTAAAACTTTTTTGTTCCCCCATTGAACCGCCAGTAAAATTCCTAAACCGTCGATGACTTGAAACTTGAAAGTATCATCAGCAGAAACTATATAGTTATTTCTTGAAGCAAATGGTTGCACTGATACTTATTATTGCATGAATGAAATCGAATGGGAGGAATATGAAAAAAAATAACATAATCTCGTACTGCACAATCTATCCTCTTGAATTACCCGATGATTCACAGTGTAATACTTGTGATCGAAATAATGCATCGATTAGGAAAAAATTGAACTTCCAACGGAAATCAGACACCCTTTGAATTATTCTTAGAAAAACTGGGGACTCCATCTAGATGACGTCAAAGGAGTTTTTTGTTGTTGTCAATATACCTTGTTCTGCATGGACTTTGAATGAAGCTTTCTGACTATTCCTCGCAAAATTCCAGGCACGAAAGTCGGTTACGATTGCTCGTTATGTCCGAAAATCGTGTCGCTCTATGAAAGCACCCAAGGAGAATACGATCAACTCGTGTCAATGGAGACATTTTTGCGAGATTCGGGACAATTGCTGCAAATGGACGACGTTGATCCCGCATTCAACAACGCCACATTCATGGGCAACATATTCCGTCCTGATTCGAATTATTTGGTGGCCGGCATCATTAGTGACGATCACACCCCATTTTTAAACCGCGGAGTGCAAAATATTTTGCACTTGATCCCGTTCCCGTTTCCGCACGGTTTTCATTCCGAAGATGACGATGAGGAAAATTTGGATCCCGCGGCTGTTTTGAATCTGGATTTGATAATCAGATGCGCTATTTGTTCAAATTTGACTTCCATCAGTGATCTTGAATGCGGATGTACCTGAAATCTTCGACTTTTTATGGTGCTAAAATCGTTTTTTTTCGATTTCGATGCGCGGTGCAGTATTTTGATTGGACGAGTCATGCTCATGTTTCAGCGGTGATAAATAAAAGTCGGATGCATATCTTTTGCCATCAATAATGAATTTAATCCCTCAATTCTCCCCTAGGACCATGGAGAGTACTATAAGCAAAACTTGACAAGCAACAATATAAATTTCCTCTATATACACGCCACAAAATCAAACAAAGCTTTCAAAGCCATATGTTCACGAAACCCACGAGTATCGGAAAAGAAGAATGAAGCAAACGCAATAATGCCGAAAAGCGTGTTTCTCTCTCTTTCTCTCTTTCTTTCTGATGTCATCTCTTTCGCGATTTTTCTTTTCCCTCTCAAAACAGGCGGATGAATTACGAAAGTGGGGGGAAAAAAAAGAACAACGAACACTGTCATGAAGCCTTCGTTATGAACCTCAACCTCACAAGCCTACAGTCATCTTGACAACCTCGACACGAAGTCAAGCAAAAGCGACGAAAGGTTCGTTTTTTTTTTACAAGAGACACGTGCAGAATTCGTATTTCGCAAAGCTCGTTCAAAAAAAAAACCTAATCAGCTTAAGAATGCACCATGAAGCAAAAAAGGAAATTCGTTCCTTCTTCTTGCCTTTCAGCATCCATCTCGCGACCACCGTTCAATTTTACTAGCCTCACAAAAAAAAAAAAAAATCTCTGACTCTGGACGTTCCTTTCGCAAATGATGAGATTTTTTTTCGAGGAAAAAACGAGCTACTTTCAACGGGGAAAAGGCCAGGTTTCTGCATTTCGTCACTCAATCGGTTACAACAATATAACTATAGAAGATATTAAAAGCATGGGTAAATGAGTTACCCTCCGATTTTTTTTTCAACGACTCGAAAAAGAAGATCATTACCTGGACAGCGAATGCAGAAACCATGTCCTACCGTGAGATTATTGAAGAAATTCGAAAACACTTTTTTGTTTTTGTTTTGTTCGCTCTCTCGCTGAGACTCGAGGAATCACCCTTTCGTTCATCACCCAACATCATATTCTGCAGCAGCCGCATTCCTTCTCTCAAATGGTATTGTTTTTGTTCTAAGCACAAAAACTGAGACTTCAAAACGGAGACACTGCCTTTGGTGTCAGATCCTTTTTTTTTTCTTTCTTTCTTTTCTTCTCCCACTTCATGGGCACTCCAATCACAGCTCAAACATGAATTAAAACTCGCCGGAACATATGCTGAACTCGGTCTAGCATCCAGATGCGCTTCGATTTGTTTCCTCTTTTTTTTTTCCTCTCCTTCCCATGAATTCAATTCGTTAGATGGTTTCCTAAGTCATTCACGCTGCAGCTTCCGAACCAAGGACACAAAAAAAAACCATCCATAACTCATTTCCACATCGAAAGCAATCACGTTTAGGTTTCACGCATTTACCACAATGAACCGTTGATTTTTCTTTTCCTCTCTCGCTCTCTTCAGCAGCCGATAGCGTTGGATCAACCTGCTTTTCGCAGATTTAAATTCGTAATTGGCAATATTTTTTTTTCCAGGTTAGACATGTGAGGATAAGCATAAAGCAAAATTTTTTCTTTGGAATGAGTCTCCTATATGTTTTTTTTTTAGGGGCGCATCTCAGTGTTTGCCAAATGGACAGAATCCGCATGAGCCGGGAAAGCAAATTTGAAAGCCTTGCCGGGAAGCAAAAGGCTTACACAGCAACGATTAAGTTCTGACCGTGAATCTGATCAGCTCACACACCTTGATGGAAGATACTTCAACACAACTAGACTGGATTTTTTTCTTTCTTCTTTTGGTCATCTGTGAACCACAGGCCTCAAAAAGGAGCACCCTTGACAAAAATCACTCAAATAAATCACTGATGCACGACTTTAAATGACCCTTGCATCCGAAATCATTTTCTATCTCGTTATCCTAGCTAAAACGCCCTGCTCCTACAATTTTTCTTCTTCTTTGTTTTAGTATTCGAGAAATCTGGAAAAAAACACAGTTTTTCGATCGCTCAGCATTTTCTCAGCAGCATCAGTCACGGCTCTGTGTGCAAATCTTTGACATTTCCTCTCTAAAATGTCCTCCCTCGTGATATCTTTGGTTGTGGGTACAGTACAGTATTAAACTTAAAACTACCAATCCAGACAAGAATTAGTATCGTCGACAGGAACAACTGTGACATCGACGGAGACGATATACTTCTGACATCTCGTGATTCCGCTGGACCGCGGAAAAAGGATGTCACAATTTTTTTCCAGATGAATGTTGCTTCTTCTTGCTTCACCAGGGGCTCACTGCATACGACCATTTGATGTGCGTAATCTGTACATCGTGTGACAAAAAATCTTTGGATGGCAGCTGGATTCAAATGCCCAGATTGTGATTTCAATCCTCCCTGCAGGAAAAAAAAAATTGGAAAGGATTCGAGTCAGATTTATTTAGCTGTGCTCTGCATTCAATCGATTATACTCCGGGATTTACTGGAAGAAATAATTCATGGCCTGCAGCATACACTCGAGATATTTGAGGATATGCAGCAAGTACTGAAAGTTGCGGCAAATATTTAATAATATTTGAAATTTCAGTCGAGAAAACATGCGTTGGAAAAATCATAAGAAGACATGAATCATTCGATTGGAGAAGCACCCATAATTTTTTCTCTATTAAAAGTTCACGTCATCGGTACATTACAGTATTACAAAAAACAATTCAACATTCCACGAACTTTTCCTTATACAGTATGACCATCAAAATAATGTTATCTTCAACCGATTTAAGTTTTTATGAAAGTTCATGAATGGAATGTAATCACAATTTTATGCATGTATGAAGCGCTGAAAATTCCTTTCAAAAGTTATAAATGTTCTGCTGCGTGCATAGAAAAAAATGCCTTCTTAATTATATGAGTATGGGTCATATGATCCCATGGACCAGTGTTACCGAACATTTCTGGGCCCACGTATACCGCAAATTTAGCTAAAACTTTTCGTGGACCAGAAAATATTAATCAAATGTTTGCAGACTCAAAAAATTTTGTTTGAAAGACGTTATGGGAGATGTTTAAAAAGGTTTTGATTTTTAAAATTAAGTTGAGAACCCATGAAGCAGCTTCAATGGACTCTATTCGAAAAATTAGAAAGGTGGGCTTGATGAAAGGTTTCCAAGAATGGAAGATTAAACAATTTATTTCAACAGGTAAAAACATTATCGGAAGTGTCATTATTATAGGAGAAAAGCCAAATTTCATTTTACAACAAATAGTTTAAACTGACATTGTCTTTCCAACATTTTATAAAAATATAATGGACTCTTTTGCTATACTTTTGATAAATGCATGATGCTGACAATTTCTTGCGGACCGGCAGAAAATGTCTGGACCACAGGTTTATTGGGCAACACGTAACTGCCATAGACAGTCTTTAATTGCGTGGCTGCATTCTTTTATGGTAAAAATCGTTCGGATTACAGGACAGGGAAAATGATGGTAAGAAAATCGTATTTACCTTTTCGGGTTCAGGATTTTCATTTGGTTTCTTTCGGCTTGCCCCAGTGCTCTTCGAAACGTGCGTGGGCGTCATCTACAAGCCCTGCTGGCCCAGGATTAACGTTGTAATCAGCTTCCGACTTATCTTCTTTCTTCTCCTCCTCAGCAGCAGCAGTCTTGGACAAAGGTTGGGAAACAGTGCTAACATCGGAAACAGAAACTTCAGCTGACGGAAGAATGTTTTCTCCCTTCTCATCAGCAACCTTCTCCGCTGAGGGTTTCTCAACAGTAGAATCGCTGCTGGATTTCAACGGAGACAAAGATGATGATGATGAATCTGAAACACTGGTGGCTTGGGTGTCTTTGGCCTCAGACAAATGCAAAGCAGGAGCTTCTGCTTTTGTCATGGCGTCTAGAAGTAAGCCAGAGTCGGTATTAGTTTCCGAATCGTTATTTCCCTTGGTGTCGGCCTTGTTTTCCGCAGGAGGACGAGTTTCCAAAATAATTGTGTTTGCTTCCGTGTCTTTTGAGTTAGCTGCAATTGCATCAGCTTGGACGGCTGCTGTATTCTCTGCTTCTGGGTGCTGGGCTTTGTTTGACTTTGAGCTGCTGATATCTGCTGGGGAAATTTCCTTTACGGCATCTTGCGAAGCCTGGGATTCATTTTCGTTCTGAACATGGCTGCTTTCAAGAACAGTGGAGGCTTGCTCTTTAAGCATTGGCTCGGTGACAGAGCTTGTAATTTGATCATGACTGATGGCAGTTGTTTCAGTTGCTGATCCTCCAGATAATTTTTCAGAGTCAACTGATGATCCAAGGTCTTGAATTGTGTTTGCATTTTTGCTAGATTCATCATCCGCCACGACAGAAAGGCCCTGTACTGCGGAAATGATGGAGTGAGGACCACTTTCGACAGATTCAGATTTCTTGGAGGACTCGGAATCTGCTGCTTCAGTCTTTGATGCTGACAAGTCAAATTGAATGCTTGAAGTTGAAGCGAGGTCAGGTGCTTTGACCGACTCTGACTTTTCCTCAAGCGGATGGACTTCTTTCACAGTGTCACTTATTGTTGGCTTGGACTCCATGATTGAGGGTGCAGTGATATTTTCCCCTGCTAAACTGCCAAGAGACTCCATTTTCTCACTGACGGGTGACCCAGGGTCACCACCCCCAAGGCTGGAAGTTTCAGTCACTGACACTGCGCCACTGTCATCCGAATCAATGCCTCCAGTCTTGAATGAATCAGATTCATGAGGTTCCAGGGTGCTGCTTTGTGGTTTGGCAAGGATTTCTTCTTCATTCTGGTCACCAGCAGCAGCAAGAGTACTTTGCTCTGTGTTGGGGGTTTCTTCTTGAGCTTGACCAGTACTAGTACTGACTGATGGGGGAGCTGACACCTGGTTTGATGAGGTGTTGTTGACCAGGGAATCGTTAATCACTGTTGTATGACCTGGTTCCTGCTGAGGAATTGACTGTTGCTGTTGAGATGGCAGGTGATCATCAATTACAGCCTTTTCGTCCTCTGGACGAGGAATGACGGGGTCCTTTTCAGATGCAGATGGTTCAGGTTCCTGATGCAGAATTTCTTCGGATACAGGGCTGCTCGAGGGCTT